AAAAATTGATTTCTCCTTTTCATTTTTTTTTTTTTTTTTTTTGTAATCGCGAGTAAGTAATAATAATAATAATTGTAATCGTTTTCTATCATCATCATCATTATCATTATTATTATTATTATTAATAACGTGTTCGATTTCGGTTTTTTTTTTTTTCTGGGGGGGGGTCATTTTTCCATTAAATAAAAATGTAAGAGGTGGTAATAAAACAAACGCGAAAAACAAAAAAGAAAAAAAAAGGCGCGAATTTTTTTAAAATTTGAAATTTTTTTTTTCGTTCCGGAACGTTTGAGAATCTTTAAAAAAAATATATAAATGAGAGAGAGAGAGAGAGAGAGAGAGAGAACGGGGGGGATAAACGGTTTTAAAAATAAACTCAAATTCCTTATCCGGACAGATATTATTTCTTCGTAAGTTTAACACTGACGCACGCACACGCACAAAATTGTTGTTGCCGAGGGTGAATTTTAAAATCACCCTTAAAACTTTAAACCTACGAACAAGAAGACATTTTCAAGGTCGAAAAACCAAAAAAAAACCTTCCTTAAAAATTTTTTAGGTTTTGAATGTTTTCGATGGATGGCGTCCATGTTTGATTTTTTCAACGTCATTCTCACATCGTTATTATTATTATTATTATTTTATAAATTTTAGGCTTCACTCGTTCATTCATTTTTTAAATTATTATTATTATTATTATTATTATTATTATGGTCACTCTTAAACACGACAAGGCTCTTATTTGTCGGGGTTGTTAAGCATTTATCCCAGGTCTCTACCCGATTCCTTAGGGACAAATACTCGAATATCGGTGGTGCTATTTATAATATTTTCCGAAGAATGTGGGCCGTCCCACATAGTGCGATTTCCTGGATGGTTTCTTCTTTTAGGTTCTTCATAATCTTCTTTAAATTTCCTTTTATTGAATGTGGCATGGCTTATTATTATTATTATTATTATTATTATTATTATTATTATTATTTATTATGCGCGTAATTTGAACTAGGTAGGAGAAAAAAATAAAAAGTAAAATTATTTAATATTGTTATTGAAAACGCAGTTGTTGGGTGAAAGAGGGAGAGAGAGGGGGGGAAGAATCGCGGATAGGTAGGAAAAGAAATACTTAGATACGGTACTGAAAGGTCATACAATCACCCCTGAAAAAAAAAAAGAAAAAAACTGACCAGGTGATTTTTTTTTTTTGATGACAGATGATGAGAAAAGGAAAATGAATTTTTTTTTTTTCATTTGATAATTTCTTCAGTTTAAAATATAAAATTCTGTCAGAATTTAAAAAGGGAAAATGTCAAACGTCAAAATGAGAGAGAGGGAAAGAGAGAGGGAGAGAGAGAGAGAATAATTCGTTACGTTAATTAAATTTTTTTTTTTTTTTTAACAACGTCGATAACAAGAAGAAAAAAAAATCTGGAGAAATTTGTCGCTGGAATTTAATTAAAAAAAAAAAAAAAAAAAAAAAAATGGAAATCACATTCGCGTTGAATCCGCGTTACTCGTGTCATTAGATTCAAATAACGGAAACGGAAATGCGTAGATTTTAAATCCCCTGTTGAGTATTGGGATAGATGAAAAAAAAAAAGAAAATGCGAAACGTAGAAAAAACGTGGATTTTATTTTGATTTTCTTTTCTCAAAGGAAAATTAATTATTTTCACGTTAGAATTTGGTTTGTCGTAAAAATGCATTTATGCTGTACTATCAAATCATTATTATTATTATTATTATTATTATTATTATTATGTTTTAGTCGCGGAAAATTATCGGAGTTTTTCCAGGTTTTCAATGGATTTTTTTTTAAGTATCCGTAATTCTACAATTCCCCGTCGGAATCGTTTCCGTTTTTACTTTCTTTTTACATCCGGTTTTCTTTTCACGAAATCCGTGCCGTTCTTCTTTTGCTTTTCACTTCCCTTTTCGTGAATCGTTCTCGTAACCTTTTCCGTTTTCGAGATCGGAATTTAGGGATTCCCCTTTTCCCGTTTTTTCCGGGGAAAAATAAATAAATAAATAAATAAAATTTAAATTTTTTCAAAGTTTTTATTTTATTCATAATTTATTATTATTATTATTATTAATAATTTTAAATTAATTGCGACAAAATACAATAACAACAACGAAAAAAAAATGAAACCGGAAATGAGAATTCGGTTATTAGAACCGGAAATGAGAAAAAAAACCGAAAAAAAAAGAAAAATAATAGTAATGATAAAAAGAAAACAAAATAAAATAAAATAATAATTTATTTATTTATTTATTTATTGTGCCAACCATTATTATTCATGTACATAGGAACAGTTTTATTATTAATTTATTAACCGACAATAATAATAATAATAATAATAATAATAATAATAATAATAATAATAATAATTTCTTTTTTCAAAAAAAAAAAAAAATTTAATCATTTGTACACTTTTTTTTTAAAAAATTATTATTATTATTATTTTTTTGTTTTAAATACACAACGTAAACTACAGAGAGTAACATTTAAAAAAAAAAAAAAAAAAAAAAATTTTCAACACTTTGTACATAAATAATAATAATAATAATGATAATAATAATAATAAATAATTAATAAATACTGTTTTATACATTCGCATGAGGAAAAATAACCCAAAAAAAAACAAAAAAAAAAAAAAAGCCACTGCCACCATTTTTAAAAATAATAATAATAATAATAATAATAATTAAAAAATTCAACTTTCGCACGATAATTATTATCATTATCATTATTATTATTACTATTATTATTATTATCATCATCATAATCACGCGGGTTTCAACCGCGTTAACCGCGAAAAAATTAGAAAAAAAAAAAAAAAGAAAATTTATTATTACCTTTTAAACTTCACAGCCTCGAGGCTTATTATTATTATTAATATTATTATCAACATTATTAATAAATTACAAACTCAAAAAAAAAAAATAATTAATTAATTAATAACTAATTACGAATAAATAAATAAATTAATTAAATCAATCACGCGAAGGGGATAGATAAATAGATAGATAGATAGATAGATGAATTTAAAAAAAAAAAAAATTTTTTTTTTTTTCAATGTTTAAACAATTCGAAAATTTATTAAGTAATTATTATTATTATTATTATTATTATTATTATCATCATCATCATCATTATTATCATTACCATTATCATTATCATTATTATCGTCGATTTGCAATTTTATTAAGTACATAAAATAATTAATTGCACGCGTTTTTTAAATTTAAAATTTTTTAACTTCGGATCTATTAATTAATTGTTATCATTATTATTATTATTAATGTTGTTGTTGTTGTTTTGATTGTTGTTGTTGTTGTTGTGGTGGGGGTGAATGGCCGCTGTTAAGAATGATAACGGAAAACCGAAATCGAAAGAAAATTTTCTTTTCGGAGTCAAAAAGGAACTTTTTTTTTATAAATTATTTATTTATGGATTGATATTAAAGCTCAATTTAATATTTAATAGTTTTGATTGTTGTTTGTTCGTTTGTTTGTTTGTCGTTGTACACGTTTTTGTAGTTATACACACGTTTTAATAATGGAAAAATGAGTATCGGAAATATTAGACACGCTCATTTCGAATTGTCGTAATTCGATTAAAATTTACGTGCGTCATTTTTATAATTAATAATAATAATAATGATAATGATAATAAATTAGCTTTAATATCAATGATTTACATTAATAATAATAATAATAATGATATTAATAATGATAATGATTTATAATAATATTTTAATATTAAATTTAATTTCAGTCGAATTTGCGTTGCGCGCACGCGCGCGCCCGCGTGGGCGCTCGCGGGCTCGCGGGCGGGCGGACGCCATATTTGAAATCGACATTAAAAAATATTTTCCTTAATATTTAGGACGGTGGGAATTTTCTTTTTTTTTCCTCTTCTTCTTTTTTTCGGTTTTTCGACTTGTTGCTGGCCATCTTGTATGAATGAGATACGGTCCTGCTGCGTTTTCACGCGTATTGTGAGTGTCCAATCCAATCGTTGTTGAATTTGTTTCGAAAAAAAAAAAAAAAAAAAAAAATCTGGAAGAAAAACGATGACGAAAGGTTTTTCTCTCCAGAGCCATTAATTAAACCTTTTTTTTTCTTTTTTGTTTTTGTTTGGAAATCTGATTTTTTTTTTTTGTTTACGTTACGTCAGAGATCAATTTCAATCGTTTACTACTAATTATTATTATTATTATTATTATTAATAATTTTATCCGGATGATTTGCATTATTATTATTATTATTATTATTTTCTTTTCAATTTTCACGGTCTTTGAAATTTTTTTTTTTTTTTCCAAGAGATGATTGATTGATTGATTGATATTATTATTATTATTTGCTTCTCTCTCTCTCTCTTGCGTTCAGTCTTATGAATTTTCTTTTTTTTTTTTTCTTCACTGGTTTTACGTTTTAGTTGTTTGTTATTATTTTTTTTTCTAGATTTTTCTATTTTTTGTTTTTTTTTTTTTATACATTTGTACATTTAAAAAGTAATTTTCTCTCTATCTCTCGATAATTAATTTTTTTTTTAAATTTCCCTCCTTTTTTTGGGCCTTATCCTTTCCACCCCCGTCACGTTTAAATTTCATCATTTCCGGTTTTGATTTCGAATCAAACGAAAGACCGTAAAATTTCATTTACTCAAAATTTATATTATTCATCAGCTCACCCAGCGAGCTCCGTTAATCGTTCAGATTTCCAAAAATTAAAAAGTTTTTCGCTTTTTTTTCTCCAGTTCGAACCCCGAAAAAAAAAAACACAAACAAACAAACGAACGAACGAGTCACTGTTATAATGAGTTGTTGTTGTTGTTGTTGTTGTAACGTAACGTACTTAAAATAAAAGGCATTTTTTTTTTTTTTTGTTTTTTTTTTTCTCCCCGTTATATCACTTAAGTACATTCGATCACGTGACCCTGTGACGTTTCAATGACCGACGGCCTGGTTTCTTGGGTTCCGTTCGTGTGTATGTGCAAAGGTTGTTGAAATTTCAAATCGAACGAATCCCTCGAATCGTTGTCGTGAATTTCCTTTTCCCCACTTCCTGTTGTGTGCCAAAAAAAAAAAAAAAAGACGTTAGTTTGATGACGTAATCGTGGGGGGGGAGAGGGGGAGGGGGAAACGAAATTTCCATTTAATTTTCCTTACCCATGCTTCCGTCCGATCCGACGTATTCGTAATAACTTCCAGCTGTCGGGGAACCAGCCATTTGAGCTATTGCTAATTCTTCTTCTAGCGTATTTGGCCTACAGCTAGTAGTTTTCCAATGAGTTCTGTAAAAAAAAAAAAAAAAAAAAAAAAGATGGATGAGAGTTTTTATAAAGGGGTTTAGGAATGAGGGGGAGGATCGTTTAAGGGAAGGGGATCCTACCTCAATCCACTTGCACTTATGTATTTTTTTGAACAGCCTTGACAAGTGTAAGGTCTCTCGTTGGTGTGCAGTCTTTTATGTAGTTTCAAGTGAACAAATTGTGTGAATTTTGCCGGACACAAATCGCAGGCATAAGGTTTTTGACCGCTGTGCAGCCTTAAATGTGTTTTAAGATTCGACGTGGAACTAAACCTTTTCTTGCAAATGTCACACTGGTGAGGTTTTTCCCCTATAAAAATTTTCGAAGAGAGAGAGAAAAATTTTAGTTCGGTTCGGTTCGGTTTGTTCCTTTCGATGGAAAATTTTGGAAATTTGAACTTACCGGTATGCACGAGATGATGTTTTTGCAAGTGAGCTAATTGCGTGAAACTTTTTGTACAAACATTACACCTAAAAGGACGTTCGCCCGAATGCGTTCTTAAATGTACTTTCAAATTACTCAATTGTCCGAACGTTTTAAAACAAACGTTGCATTCGTAATGCATTTTACCATCTTTCTTTTTTAACGGATACGGGAGAGATCGAAAACCGCGAGAGGATGACGATGATGAATTCGGGCTGAGGGGAGATGTCGGCCTGCACACTCCGTTGTCCGGAGAGGGTGGCATCGTTTGAAGTCCCGTGTAACTCCTGAACTCTCCCGAACTGGGTATCGTTAACATTTGATACGTTGGCGAAACGGATTTTTCGTAGGGCTGATATTGATTTTGATAAACGTAATAATTGTTCTGATACTGATAATCCGTGGGATAAGACGAAGAATTCGGTGATGGCGTTCGACTCGTTTTCGTATTCGAACTGCTATCCGGACTGCACTGGTATCTTTGCGATTTCTTATACGAATACGCCATTTCCGTGGGTGACGTCGGAGGTGGAGTCACTTCTTTCGTCGTTTCCAATTTATCGTAATTTCCAACGACGCCGTTGTGTGAAAATTTTTTCAGTTTTTGATTATCTTTCGTGTCTTCCGGTTTCGACCCGGTTTTCCTATCCGTCATGGGTTTGTTACCGTCCTTACGATTTCGTAGTAAAATATTTTCTAATATGCTTCCCGTGGGAGGAGTCGGTTGAATTCTCGGGGCGGATGTACTGTTGACGACGTTTTCTTCTTCGTAATAACAAGGATTTGTCGATCTAGGAGCAACTTGAACCTGTCGAAACAAGAGATTTTAAAAATCACGATGAAACCGGAAGTAAAGATTAAGGTAGTGAAGATGAATATTTTTTAAAGGTTCCATACTTACCCTTGGTTCTTGTAGAGTCGGAGAAAGAACCGTCATTTTTGGACTTTCGGCCGGAGTTGGAATTTGTAGCGGAGTCGTTAAAACCGGTGTAGGATTTTGCGGTTGGGGTGGTATCAAAGGATGCTGTTGTTGTTGCTGTTGCGGCTGCTGCTGCTGCATTGGGAGTTCGGAAATTTCCATTTTTTCCGGTTGTTTTTCCTCGTAGCTTTGATAAGTCTTATTAATTTTAATTTTAACTTTTCTGTATTCGTTTTTATTTGTGTCGAGGGATTGAACAACGGTGTGCACAGGTGGAGCTATATGTGATTCCGTTGTCGGTTTAGGTTTTTCTCCAGAACCGGTGTCTTTTTTACTGCTGGAAAATTATGCATAAAATGCGTTCAGAAAGTTACTTAAAGGAAAGATAATGGAAAAAAAAATTTGCGAAAAAATTTTTTTTACCTGTAATCCAACACGTAATTGTCGGAATCGTCATCGCTCGAATCTTCCGGTGGTGTCAATTCGTGATATTCAGTGCTGTGATACCCTTCATCCGATCTCACGCTTCCGTTACAACCTCCCGGAGAATTCCTTTGTGGTGCCTCGTAAGAACAAGGCATACTTTCGTACGAACCAGGCGAACTCCTTTGCGGCGATGTTCTCACTCCGTTTCCCGGTGATCCCCTTTGCGGCGGATCGTATTCGGGAGAATTTCTTGGAATTCCTTCATACGGTCCCGTGGGACTTCTCTGCGGTGAAGATCTCGATTGTAAATCGTAATCCGTCAATCTATACGACGAATTCCTCCTTCCCGTTATTTCCTTGCTTGTTTTCTCGTACAAATCTGCGAGTGGTTAATGAAAACAACAAACGATCAAACAAAATTGTTTTTTGACAAAACCACGTGACGACGTTTCGGTAAAAAAAAAAAAGAATACGGTACCTGTTACCCTGTCTTCGTTTCTAACGACCTGATAAATTTCAGGAGATTGCGATGATGCTGCTGCTACTACTGCTACTCCTGCTCCTGCTCCTCCTGCTGTTGCCGAACCCACTACCGCGACCGCATCTGAATCTTTGGTATTTTTATCCGTTGCGATTTTTTGAGGCGTCACAATCGATTGCTGTTGAACTTGTTGTCCTGAAAATAATCCAAAAAAAAAAAAAAAAATTTTAATTCGATAACGAATTTCAGGCACGTACACAAAATCGGGGGGGAAGGAGTTACTTACTTATTCTCAGGAGCATCAATTCTCCTGTGAGAGGATAGTTGAGCCTTTCGGCAAATTCTTTGCAATACCAAACGAGTAATTCTTGATTTGGAAGTATGGGTTTTATCGTGTAAAAATAAATACACATTTTATATTGGCAAGCTATTAAATTTTGACTTTCCGACGAATATGCCGGATTAACGTATCTCATCCAATTAGATTTGGCAACGTCGTAACCGTCGATATAATAAAATAATTCATTTTCTTTGTACACCTGAATGGGAGAAAAACAGAAAAAAAATTAAAATCGTTTAGGAAATTTACAAAGTGAAAAATCAATGATTATCATTATCATCATCATCATCATCACCACCATAATCATTGTTATTATTATTATTATTAATATGCGATTGCGTATTTATATATGTACATAAAATTAAACTTACGTGATGTTTTCTCGAATTTTCTTCTTTGATTTGTACCTGTGTTAGTTAAATAGAAAAAAAAAAAGGGCGAAATTAATAATGATAATAATAATAAATATATACACATTTATAATAAGGAGGACGTTTACAGCATCCCAAACAGGTTCAACAAAGATCTTTAAATTTTTTTCCCCGGTAACCTTTAATAATAATAATAAGCTTTTTTTTTAAAAAAAAAAAAAAAACAAAAAAAAATTCAAAGTCGCTCGTAAGATGGGTTGTTATTTTTTATTGGTCGATTGTTTGTCGAAAAGGGAGGGGAGGGGGGGGAAAGGAAAAAAGGAAGAAAAAAACTTTTCCAGAAATTCCAGACAAAGGAATTGAAAGTATAAATTTATATACATTTATTTATATGTACAATAAAAAAAAAGAAAAAAAGAAGATAAAAAAGAAAAAAAAAGGAAAACAGACGAACGGGTGGAATCGCATAAAAATCGTCTGCAATCTGAGATAACGACGATTTCATTCGTCCGTTCGGCTTAAAATCGGTCTTTTTTAAAGTTTTGGTCGTTTTTCCAGGCGAAAATTTGTTTTTTTTTATATATATATATAAATAACCGTTCGGAGGAAAGTATTGAAAGAACGTTTAATAACCACTTTTTTCGTTACGTCACGTACGCGTCGAATGTGTGAGTGCGTGAGTGTGTGAAAATTAGTCGGGTCCGGAAAACTTTGAATTTTTTTTTTTTTTTTTTCCCAAAGGAAAACCCTTAAACCGCTCATGTTAATCATTCCTGTACATTATGTTTAAAATAAATGCCTTAAACTCACCCTCCAAAAATATTTCCTATTGGCCGTTTGCGGCACTGAATCTTTTGCATATATTTCTCCGACCAACGGACCGAATCTCGTACCTCTAGGTATGTAACCAGTGCTCCAGACTCCCAAAACCTAAATTTAATTTTTGAAAACGTTTAGGGGTTGTTTTGTAAAATGTTTCGAGAACGTTCTAGACGTTATAGTTAGACTTACGTCGCTTAATGCTTGAGATGGTTTGAGTATCAAATTACGGGGTAGGGATGCTTCGGCACGATTCGTACAATTGGGTTCCGTGTGAACGTCAGGAACTATGTAAACGACATGCTGATCGAATTCTTCTTCTTTAATTACGTTCAAATCGAAACAATCAACGTCCCTGTATTTTTCTTCCTTAACCTGACCCTGACCATTTGTAACTGTTGAATTTTCGTTACCTTCCGGCTAAAAACAAAAAAAAAAAAAATATTATTATTATCGTCGTCGTCGTCGTCGTCGTCGTTTTTCCATTTTTCTCAACTCAACACCAAATGGTGGAATTATTATTACTCGAGTGCATTTTTCTCTTTTTTTCCCTCCCCTTCCCTCCCTTCCACTCTCTCTCTCTCTCTCTCCTACAGGATTTTTTTTTTTTTTTTGCTTTCCCGGTCTCGTAACTTTTTACATTTCAGAGAGAGAGAGAGAGAAAATGAGTTTTTTTTTTTTTTTTTAAATTTCCAGACAGTTTCTATCTAACGACGACGACCGTGCTACAAAAAAAATTTTCATTTTAAGATTTTTAAGGTTTTTCTCTACTCCCACGACGATTCAAACTATATGTATGCCTTTTAGTTTTTTTTGCAACTTTCTTCTTCTGACACGATTATTTCAATCAACTGACGAAAGCGTCGGTGTGTGTGTGTGTTCTCATCTCATCTTATCGGTTTTTTGTGGGGGTAACCTTATCCATCCATCGATCGATTCATAGCATTACCGCGATACATTGTTCGATTTCGATATTTTCGATATCTCGATATCTTTTCGATATACTTCTGTATTTTTAACCACCGTTTAAAAATATCCCGGAAATTTTTGTTTCGCTCGTTTTTATATTTAAATTCTTCTTTGTTTTTTTTTTTTTTTTCGTAATTACCTTTACCTTTTGTTTTATTATTATTATTATTACTATTATTATTATTATTATTATGACTTTTACCGCATCCAAAATCATTAATAAAAAAATTATTTATAAATTTATAATCGCGCAGAATAAAAAAAATCTTGCCAAGATTAAAAAAAAAAAAAAATAATGATAATAGTATATATATAAAAATACCGATGCTTATACATATTTTACTATTATTATTATTATTATTATTATTATTATTCATTTTATTATTATTATTATTATGAATCAATCAATAAATGCATCGTTGAAAGAAAACAAAAAAAAAAAAAATTGTTAATAATAATAATGATGATTATAGTTTGTTCTACGTTCATTGTCGTCGACAGCTCGCCCTTCAAATTGTGTCCCCAGTTCTCTCTCTCTCCTCCCCCTCTTATTCCTCCTCTCCCCTCCCTTCCCCGTCCTGTCCCGTCCCGTTTAGCGACCTACATTTTTTCAGACGTTTTGACCTTGCTCCGTGTGCTGGAATCCACCACGAGGAAATGTTTATTATTACTGGAGTTAAATGGGTAAAAAGAGAGAAAGAGAGAGAAAGAGAGAAAGGGAAAAAGAGAGAAAGAGAGAGAAAGGGAAAAAGAGGGAATAAAAAAAAAAAAAAAACGACCGGGAGAATTTTCCCGAGAGAGAGAGAAAGAAAGAGAAAGAGAAAAAGAGAGAGAGAAAGCACACGTGACGTCACGGGGCGTAATAAGGATTTTCCTTTAAAAAAAAAGAAAGAAACGATAAATTTTTAAATATTTCCCAAATGAATTTTAATTTATATTTTGTGTCGGTTATTAACGATTTCTTCTGGTTTGCCTGTTGCTGTTGCTGTTGCTGCTGACGACGACGACGACGACGACGAAAAAAAAAAAAACTTTTTCATTTTCACCGTTTTCATTGTTTTAATTAATTTTTTCAAAAAAAATTTTTTTTTTTTCTCACGATCGCTCGATTTTTTCATTTTAACGGTAAAACTTACTCCTTGATAATAATAATAATAATAATAATAATAATAATAATAATAATAATAATAATAATAATAATAATAATAATAATAGTAATAATAATAATAATAATGATAATATCGATATTTTTCGTTTTGGAAATCCGCGCAGTCATTTTTTTTTTTCCAGCATCACCCACATCATTTAAAATAAGGGGTAAATTAAAAAAAAAAAAAAATTAAAACAAATGACGTCATAATTTAAAACCCTCACCTCGATAATGTTAATAATAGTAATAATAATAATAATAATAGTGATAGGATGACACATTACTTACCTGTCTCATTTTAAAACTCGTTTTGTCTTTAGTACCCATCGAAATGTAAAATTTTTTTCATTTTACGTTAAAACACCATCTGAAACAAACACAAACAAACAAATAAAAATTATGTAATTTTTCTCTCTCTCTCTCTGTCTTTCTCTTTCTATTTCGTTTGTTTGTCCGACAACGACAAACGAATGAACGACAAAAAAATAAAAAAACAATCGCGACGACGTGTTGTTAAATTATTTAACGGACGAATAGAAAAAAAAAAAAAAAACTCAACTGAAAATTCCACGTCGCGTTTTCCCGTCTCGCGTTTTCTCTCACTTTAAAATAATAATAATAATGATGATGATGATGATGATAATAATAATGAAAATTTCAAGTTCAAGACGTTCGCTCATACGTTCGTTCGTTCGTTATTTGTCGTCTGGCCGTTTTTATTTTTTTTTCTTACATATTATTATGTATATATATTTAAAAAAAAAAAAAAAAAAAAAAAAGGAATTTTTGAAAATCGCGCCAAAATTAAATTTACCCTAAAATTTTATCATCATCATCATCATCATCATTTTTTCTGTACGAACCGGAAATAAGAAATTTTATCGGTCGCGTTACGGAATTACGTAATAACACGGTGGGGAGGGAAAAATAAAAACGTAAGGGAAAATCCGAACTGGGAACTGCGGCGAAACGCGAAACGGTTTTCAAATTTTCTAATGCCACGTTAATTATTTATTTATATTATCCAATAGCCTGATAAAGAATTTAAAGAGAATTTTATTTAATTCGTCATTTAAGACTTGAAAAAAAAAAAAAAAAAAAAAAAAAAGAAAAAAAACTTTTAATATCGTTAACCTTGGACGAGTTGGACGTCCCCCAAAAAATGCATTTTCTGCAGTAGTTGAGTGTGAGATTTTTTTTTTTTTTTTAAATTTGTGATGTAGAGGGCCGTGGTTCGAAAGGCGGGGAGAGAGGGGGGGCCGAAGGCGAACGAGAAGGAAAATGTAAAAAAAAAAAAAAAAAAAGAAAAAAGCTCGGGGGTTGTGCTGTATTTCTTCTCCATCCATCCTCCCTCCCTCCCTCCTACTCCCCATACTACACCCGTTTTGCTTTTTTCTTTTTCCCACCACCGTATCTCCTCGCCCCCTCTCCCCCTCCTCTCTCTCCGTCTCTCTCATTCTATATTTTTCGAACGTTCGAAACGTTATTTTAAGCTTTTTTTTTTTTTTAATGTTTGAATGCATTTTTGTGACCGACATATTATTTATTCCCTTTGACATTTCGAACAAGGCGAAATTAAACGAAAAAAATTTTCTTCTTTTTTCCTCGTCACGTGTTTCATCTGGGAAATTTATAATAATAATGATAATAATTAATTTTCTATCCCTTCATTCCCGAACAACCCCACTTTCGGACGTTTAAAACTTTTTTTTTTTTTTTTTTTTGAAATTTTCCAAACAAGAGTTCCAGACTTTTCTCCATTATCGTCTCCATGACGTTTAATTCATAAAAAAAAGGATTATGGGAAAATTTATTTATAATCTTATCATTAATCGTAATCGATACGGAGGAATCGATAATAATAATAATAATAAAATTGTTTTTGTACTGCTGGAAAAGTAAAATTCGCATGTATACGCAAATACACGCACTCGTTCGCACACGCACACGCACACGCGTGAATTGTATTTTTTTAAATACTTTGTATCCAAAGGGTTAAAAAAAAATAATAATAATAATTGTGTGAAAGAAAATCGAACTGATAATTGATAAAGAGTAAAAATATTTAATAGGGAAATTTTTAAAGGTACGAACCTAACCTGGAATTTTCCGTTCGGAAAAAAAACAAAACAATAACAAAAAATTATCTTACCGAACGTGTATTGAAATGATAAAATTTTCCAGTGGAAAAAATTTAACTGCGCGCAATTCGTTGTTGATGTTAATGATGATGATGATGAAAACATCATATTCACAAATAACACGTTCACATTAAAAAAAAAAAAATTTTTTCTTTTCTTTTTTTTCTTTTCGGGTTGTTTTTTCGTTTATTCAATAACGGAAAATAACGGAAGGGAAAAAAAACAACAATCACTGACCATAGACAACACAGAATCAGACTTCCAAGGGTTGCAAAACTCACCCCCAACACTGACCCGACCTCTAACTCGAACGAAACGTCGTCGTGTAAAATATAAGTCGATAAATAACGTAGCGGGTTTACCCGTCAGCTAAACGTAGGCGTCACGTGAAATTGTCTGGGACGAAAACGCCGCGTGTTTTCTTTCGTAAGCTAACCATTTGAGACGAACGGATGACTCTTCGTCGGCTTATGCGACGGTTATGTTTTGTTCGTTAAACGAACGGATAAAACTCTTTAAACAAACGTTTAGCTTATGGATGGGATGCGTTTTCTTACGTTGAATTGCACTTTTCACAGAGAAAGCAAGAGAAAGAGAGAGAAAAAACAGGCGAGGTGATTTTCCGGAAGAGAGAGACGGGAGATGAAGGGAAGAGGGAGGAGTAGGGAAGAAGAGGAGAGAGAGAGAGAGGAGGGGAACATTGAAAAATAAATGAAAATGCAGTCGTGTCGTTTCTGTCTCTATGAAATGGAAAAAAAAAAAAAAAAAAAAAATTCCGTCTAGATGATGCTCCATTTTCAACCCTTACGTCTTTCTCTTCGCCACCGACACCGCCGACAATAACGCCGCCGCCACCGCCATTATCCCCGCTCCCACCACCACTTCCACTCCCACCGCCCTCTATTTTATCTGTCTCCGCCGTTTTCCGTCTCATTCGCCGACCGACCTTCTCATTTTTTTCTCTCCCCCTCCCTCTCTTCTTCCCTTCTTCTCTTCCGTCGATTTTTCCCTCGCTATCCACCCTTCCCCCTCTCCCCTCTCTTTTATTTTATTATTATTATCATCATCCAACTAAAGATACGTTTTTTTTTTTAAATTTTTTTGATTTGTTTCCGGTTCCCGCTTTTTAAATTGTTTTTCGTCTGGTTTAAATTTCTTTTGTTTTGTTTTCCTTTTTTCTCCCTTCCCTCTCACTCCTCTCCAGGCTGGAGAGAAGGTTTTTAAATCTAGGGTTATTTTTTTTATATTTTTTTTCTAATTCCACGTATTAATTTTCGTTTTTTTTTTTTTTTTAAATTTCGAGATTGTAGGGGGAGGAGGGGAGGGAAAAAAACCGGAAATGATATTTTCGTTTTCGATTTGCATAACGATTCGTTCTTTTCGTTTTTTTTTTTTTTTTTTGAAACCGGGATCTTTGCAATTGCAAAAAAAAAAAATGCGTTATAAAAATAAAATTTGCACTTGAGTGCAATTATTAAAAAAATTTCGCATTGAAAAAAAGCCAAAAAAATTTTTTTAGTTTAATGGATTTTCTCTCTCTCTCTGTCCCCCTACCCCCCCTCTTTCTCTCTCTATCGAACGTTTGTGTGCGTGCGTACGTGCGTGCGTTCGTCCGTCCGTATCGATAATTTATTAATTTTAAAAAAAAAAAAAATTGCACATTTT